AACCGAAAATGACAGCCATCTAAGTTCATCTCTTCCTGTACAATCAATAAAACCAGTTTGCAAACTCCGCCTAGACAATTAAGTCAACCACTAGCCCACATTGTTTTTATTTTGTTGGGTAGACCTAATTTGCTGAATAATTTTAACAAAAATTTTGAGCTTACTTCCGTATAAAAATCTCTATAGCTAACCAAGTTCTCATGAAGCTTGAGACCACTTGCACTTGCAGTCACTTCTAATTCGGATAAAATTTTGTAAAATTTTCAAAGCTTCATTTGTTTTTATGCTAATTTGATCAAACCCAAAAGCTAGTCAAAGAGAATCTTTTCTATTGCTTTTGTTTAGTCAGAGAGCATCTTTGAATCTAATAATTGGAGCTTCTTCGAGCTGGATTCTGATTTGTTTTATGCTCATTATGCGTAGTATGGATTTGAATCTAATCCAGAGGTCCATTATTTAGGTAATGAAGTTATTGTCGTAATATTTTTATTTATTTTACATAATTAGTTATTTTCAAAACACCTAAAAAGTCAATTTCTTAGATCGAGACTGAATTTATTGGCGTTAGGGAGGAGGAGCTCAGCTCAGATACGTCACCACAGCAAGTCATGGAGCCTCTTGTGGTTGTTGAAAGGGGTGGAAAACGCTAACGTTTTCTTTCGTCAACAATGATTGTGTACGTAGAGCTTCTGTTTAGTAGCATTTTTCTTCTTTTTTTTAGTGAAAACTTAAAAGGTTTAAGTATATCTTTCAAAATGAATTGAAAAAACAAAAGATCTTTTAACTAGGAGATATGCGAATCTATTATTAAATCAAATACTCAAATATTTTTTTCATATTTAGTAGTTGTTTTGAAAATGTATGCTTTAATGGTATATGGAATATTTAGCATTGCTATCCAATTACTTATGAACATTAATAAGATTAAAATGACAGTAATTATTCTTTTCCTTCCCCATTCAACTCTTTCTTCTACTTGGTTAAAATTAAGATAATTTGGATTGTTTTACGGATTTTCCACATTTCGGATTTTCCACATTTCAAATGGTTGAAGGAGACTATAATAAAGAGATCACAATTATTTTGACTTCATGAATTTTACTTATAGATGTGTATGTGTGTATGTGAGTGTGTTCATCATTTATAGATGTGAACTTTTTTTCCTTTTTTGAAAAAAGCTAAACTTCTAACTTAAAGGCTCTTGAATTTAATCGGCCTAACCAAATATAAATTAAAATAATTTTGGCATTGGTGCAAAGATGATGATATATGTGGAAGTGAGGATTATAAGGTTTTATAGGATTGTAAAGATTTAAAGGAAGTAGGCAAAAAACATCTCTATTGAGATTCCCCTAGAGTTTGTGAGTGAGTTTTATTGTCTGGCTTCAAGTTTGTAATCATAACTTTTTACAAATACAGATTTGTGAGATAAAGGAGGCCGAACCCCATATCTTGTTAATTTTCAGATGAACGTGCTGTCGGTTACTTGTTTTCTTCCCACAACATGAAAAAGCTAACGGTGCAACATGATGTAATTATATAGTACAATTAGAGACATAGAGTTCTTGGTTCTATTTCGAAGGTCATCTTACTACATTGTGATTCAAAACATAAAACAAGATGAATTGCAATGATTTTCTATACATTGCAATTTGAGTACATCTCGGTTGATCAAAACTTGATTTTTAGGTTAAAATTTAACGGTTAGTAACAACGTATGAATTGACACTTGCTCAAATTCAGCCATGTGATCGTTTTGTATGATAGTTAGTACAGAGACAATTGCTTTGTTAGAGTTTTCTAAATAAAGTATGTGAATATTGGTCATCTAATCGAATATTGTATGTGTGAGATGGCATGTTTGTTAAAAAACTGATTATGATCGGATAGATAATTTGAGTTAATTTTAATTGTAGAAAAATTTTACTCATCAAAGTAAAAATTCTTCCTTAGTAAGTAAATTGTTAATAGACAGATAAGAATTCTTAGTGGACGAATTTTCTACATTATAGAGAGGTTCTTGGTGGATAAATCAATCGGAGGATAAATATAATGGGGTCTTAGAGACCTATATATATATATATATATATATGCCAATCTAAACTCTGTGGCTTTAGTTGATCTCCATATGGCAGGAGGAAAGTTTTCACGTTTGTAGTAAGAGGAGTGAGCTATACTTCAGCAGACTTGACAGGTTCCTAGTGGGAGTGCAAATTTGGGTGTGAATCCGGATGTGCCACAAAAATACCTACCATCATCATTTTCTGATCACAATTCAATAATTTTGGAGGATGAGGGTGTCAATTGGGTTCCTAAATTATTTTGATTTTTTAATCACTAGCTTGAGGAAAAAAGCTTCCAACGAATGTTTTCGAACTTGTAGAGAGGTACTAATGAGGCTAATATGAAAAGGTTGTGGCATAAATTAGAGGGTGAAATCGATTATCAAGTGGTGGCAGAAAGAGACATTCACTAAGATCAACTTCATACGAAGAAATTGGAAGAGGAAATCCATGTGATAACAAAGGAACTCCAAAGGATCATACAAGATGACGGGCAACAAAAATTGAAGATGAGTAAGAAAATGGAACTGTAGAGACTGTACCCTGTTGAGGAGGGGCCCTGGAATAAAAAATCTAGACTGAAATGGTAGATTGAAGGGGACAGGAACACAAAGTTTTATCATCTAACTACATTGGCAAGATGGAGGATAAACTTCAGGGATAAGCTTAGGCTGGGAAGCATGGAAATAATTGATCCGGAACCACTTAAATTCAAGATTGCAATACACTTTGAGGAATTTTATGGAAGAAAGCCGGTTGCAAGATTGAAAGAATTTAATTGAAAATTCAAAACACTTTCAGCAAACAAGGCAAGAGCTTTGGAAAAGCCTTTCGCCAAGCAGGAGATTTGAGAACAACTACCAATTGTGATAGCAACAAGACACCGGACCTAGGTGACTTTAACATGAATTTCTACAAGCATCAGTGGCTAAGCATCAAACGTGAGGTGATGAATTTAATGAATGATTTTTTGCAGTTCTTGCTTCTTTTATGATTGTATAAATGCGTTGTTCATCATGAATTATAGAGCCATTAGTCTTATTGACAGTTTGTACAAAATCTTGACGAAAGTTCTAGTAAATAGATTAAATTTAAAGCTAATGGTGAAAGAGGTGGTTGGAGAGTGCCAATTTGCTTTCATAAAAGGGCAACAGATATGGATTGTTTTCTAATTGCAAATAAAATTGTTGATTTCATGAAAAAAGCGAGCTCAGGGGGTCTTATTTTTAAGGTCAATTTAGAGAAAGCACACGACAGTGTTGACTAGAAGAATTTTTTATCTTGTGATGAGGAAAATGGAGTTTGGAGAGAGGTGGATAAAAGCATGCATTTCTTTGACCACAATATCAGTGCTAATAATGGTGCTCCCATTAGACAGTTCAAAATGAAACGAGGGCTTCGG